GTGCATCTGAGTTTTCCAGCTCAGATGTGGCATAGCACCCCGCACTCTTATGTTTGATTTTGGGATTTAATGAGAATTCACCTTTATTATATAAGCTTTAAAAGTTTCAAAATTTCGGGGTGTTACACCGCCCGTCGCCGGCGACACCCCAAACCACCTCCCGTTCACCAGCTTCCCCTTCCAGTCCATGCTCTTCACCCTGGCCCACCATGCATGCTTGTCTTCCTAGCCCAACAAGACTTGGGCCAACCTCTTTCTTTCACCACCCCCACTTGGCCCTTAGTAGTATTAATTAAGAACAAATTGAAGGAAGCTAAAGATTACATGCACCGTAGTTCTCGTACCTCATCCTCACGCCAAAGTGCCAAATTACTTTAATTTCACGCCGACAATAACATACGCACGAATCTTCGCGGAGAAATTCGAACACAATATATGATAGTTTGGCAGAGAGTTCGTGGCAGTTGTTCAATGTCAAATGTTCAACGAGGTAGTCGTGACCTTCATATTCAATGTCAAATTTGTAGATATTTCGGTCACACGGGAGCCAATTGTTTATGGCGCTATGATGAACCGTGTCAAATTTCTAAAGGTTTCGGCCACACGGGAGCCAATTGTTTTTGGCGCTATGATGATCCGTGTCAAATTTGTAAACGTTTTGGTCACACGGGAGCCAATTGTTTTTGGCGCTATGATGATCCGTGTCAAATTTATAAACGTTTCAGTCACACGGGAGTCAATTGTTTTCAGCGTTATTCAGGGGCTCCGGGTTCTCAAGCTAATTTGGTGTTTCAAAATGGTTTAGGTGCTAAAACCTCGTCAAAGTCTCATACATGGGTTCCGGACACTGGAGCCACAAATCATGCAACTCCAAACATAGCTGCCCTTTTTACCTCGGAGAAGTACACTGGTAATGACACTTTACGTGTCGGTGACGGTATGGGTTTATCTATTAGTCATGTTGGTCATGCCTCTTTTAATACCCCTTCTAGATCATTTACATTGTCTGATATACTTCACGTTCCACGTTTGTCTAATTCTTTATTATCTGTTCAGAAGTTTGTATTCGATAATAAAGTCTTTTTTGAGTTTCACACCTCTTTTTTTGTTGTGAAGGATATCAATACCAAGGAAATACTTCTTCAGGGCAATAGTTCAGGGGGACTATATACACTTTCATTACCTAGTTCGTCTCCGTCAGCGTTTCTTTCCGCTCGTGCCTCGGCTTCCACTTGGCACAATCGTCTAGGTCATCCTCATAACCGTATTCTTAGCCATATACTTCGATCTTGTTTAGTTAGTGGGTCTCGTGATAATATTCGTTGCAATAACTCTTTATGCAATGCGTGTCAATTAGGCGAATTTGCCCGTTTTCCCCTCCCTTGTGTTGCTTCCACTAGTTCTCAAGTACTAGATCTTATTTACACAGACATTTGGGGTCCTGCGCCCACTTTATCTACTTCTGGCTTCCGTTACTTTGTGATCTTTGTGGATGACTATTCCCGTTATACATGGTTCTTCCCTATGAAATTAAAGTCTGACCATTATGTCATCTTTGATAAATTTCGTACTCTTGTTGAACGGTCCTTTAATTGCAAAATAAAACCATTCAGTCTGATTAGGTGCTGAGTACAAAAAGTTGCATTCTTCGTTTGTTCAATTAGGAATTCAACATAGACAATCCTGTGCCTATACACATGAACAGAATCGTCGTGTTGAACGAAAACATCGTCACATTCTTGAAACTGGTCTGGCTCTTCTAGCTCATGCCTCTGTTCCTTTGAAATTTTGGGATTTTGCCTTTGAGACTGCTGTCTATTTAATTAACAGAATGTCATCTTCTGTATTAAATAACTCCACTCCTCATCTCTTGCTACATAAATCCCCTCCTTCCTATCTTTTTCTTCGTGTCTTTGGGAGTTTATACTACCCTCATCTTCGACCATATAATCGTCATAAGATGTCATACAGGTCTTCTCCATGTGTCTTCCTAGGTTATCCTGAATCCTTTAGGGGGTACAGATGCATGGACTTACATACTAATAAGATTTACACATGCAGGCATGTCAGATTTGATGAAGAAGTTTTCCCCTTTGCTACTAAAACTTCTTTGCAAGATCTATCTACTCCGTTTTCTGGACCTTGGGTGGAATCTATTCTCAGTCACAGCACACCTATTCTTGCAGTGTCCAATGATGAGCCGCCAGAACCGCCGCTACCAGCTTCATTCGAACCAACCGTGGATCCCAAACAGGCTGCCTTGTCGGGTGATCCGGTGGAGCCCGTTGCTCGCCAACGAGGCCGTCCACGTGGGCGGTCCACCAGGCCCAATGTCCGTACTCACCCTATGGCCACTCGCAGCAACGCAGATGCTCCTCTTTTTGCTCTAGCAGCTCAGGTGCATCCCACGGAACCCACATGTCACTCTCAAGCTGTCAAATATCCTGAATGGCGTGAAGCCATGGACCAAGAATTCAATGCTCTCATGCATAACCACACATGGTCTCTAGTTTCACCCAATGCGGGTATGAATATTATTGGCTATAAATGGGTGTTTCGTACGAAGAGAAAGGCTGATGGTGCTATTGAAAGGCATAAAGCCAGGCTGGTTGCGAAAGGTTTTAATCAGGTTCCAGGCCAGGACTTCTTTGACACATTTAGTCCAGTGGTAAAGCCTACAACTGTAAGACTCCTTCTATCTCTAGCTTTATCATCTGGGTGGTCTATCAAACAGCTAGATGTTCATAATGCTTTTCTGAATGGTAATCTGGCTGAAACAGTTTATATGAAGCAACCCCCTGGTTATATTGATGCTAACTTCCTGAATCATGTTTGTTTGTTAAAAAGATCTTTGTATGGGTTAAAACAAGCTCCCAGAGCCTGGTTTAATCGACTACATATGTTCTTACTATCAGTTGGCTTTCAAGCATCCAAGACATATGTGTCTCTGTTCTATTACTCTAAAGACTCTGCTTTGGTTTATCTCTTGGTGTACGTGGATGACATTCCTGTAATGGGAAGTGATCAGGGTATTATGTCTCAGCTCTTGTCCAAACTGTCTACTACATTCAAAATCAGAGATCTTGGTGAACCAAATTTCTTTCTGGGTATTGAAACAGTTAAGAGTGACAATGAGATTATTTTATCTCAACAACGGTATATGAATGATATTTTAAAACGGGCTGAAATGTCTGAATGCAAACCCCTTTCTACACCTATCTCTGTCTCGAAAACTGTCCCCTTCAATTCAGATCTATATGATGATCCCACACAGTACAGGAGTCTAGCTGGAGCACTGCAATATCTCACTGTCACACGACCTGACCTATCCTTTGCATTTAATCAGTTATGCCAACATATGCATACTCCCACCATGTCACACTGGGAGCAGCTCAAACGGGTACTCAGGTATGTTAAGGGAACAGTTGATCATGGTTACACATACGACGGTGCTCATCTAGAGACATTTATGCCTTCTCTGATTTTGATTGGGCTGGTTGTCCTGATGATTGAAAGTCCACGAGTGGTTTTGCTGTTTTCTTGTGGAGTAATCTTATATCCTTGGTTTTCAAGAAACAGAGAAATGTTGCCAGGTCATCCACTAAGGCTGAATACAAAGCTCTTGCAGATGTTTGTGCTGAAGTTCTATGGATTATGTCATTACTGCGTGAGATACAGATTCCGGGTATTTCCATTCCAAAATTATAGTGTGATAATCCAGGAGCTACATATATGAGTGTCAACCCAATCTTTCATGCGCACACCAAGCATGTGGAGATTGATTAACATTTTGTTCGTGATCGAGTAGCTTCGGGCGATATCCAAGTCATTTTCATCTCCACAAAGGATCAACTTGCTGATATCTTCACCAAAGCTCTGCCTGGACCTAGATTTTCTTCCCTAAGGGACAAGCTACAGGTTACTAGTATACACTGTGCTTGAGGGGGAGTATTAGGACTCTATGTATCTGAGTCTATTTAGAACTTCTTATTCTTGTCACACTTTGACTCTCTACTTCTTATCCTTGTCACACTGTGACTCTCTATTGTATATTTTTACATCATCTAATCTCATTGTAATTAAGTTCAATTCATACAATTCTATCAGTTCTCATCATGTATACTTTGATTATACATTTGGTATTTAGATGGATTAAGTGTTTTGATTAGGAATTAAGTTCTTCAATGAATTACGTAATTTGACAAATTAAGTATTTGATCGATTAATTAAGTATATATATTGATTGATTATGACTTATATAATTTGATGAATTAGATTGAATTTGATGATCGTATAAAATTTTATGAATTAGGTATACTTTGATTATACATTAGGTATTTTGATTACGAATTAGGTAATTTGGTTTCAATTCAAATCACCTAATATCGTTTATAAATGCGTCTATCATGCATCCATCATTTGTATCCATTCTTCATAGTACTTAGAGTAGCATTTTATTGCGTACATCATTGTGATTGTAAAAATTTGAGAAGATATTGTAGAACTATTTTGGTATATTAATTTCGATCAGTACATAGAATTAATTTCTTAATTATAATAATATTATACCTTATTTAATAAGACAATTATATTGAGTAATTATGTTAATAAATAATTATTATTATGGTACATTAATTTCAACTAATTACTATATAGAATCAGGGATGCAAAACTCGGCCGCCTAGTCGCCTAGGCGCTAGGCGGCACAAAGCCTTGCAGTTTTGGCCTAAAGGCGGCCAAAACTCGACCGGCCGAGTAGGCGGCGGCCTGGGAGGCCTACTCGGCCAAGTTTGGCCCAATCGGCCGAGTTAATTCAATTTTTTTAATTGGGTTTTTCACTCAAAACGACGTCGTTTTGAGCGAAAAACCCAATTAAAAAAAATTAAATTTTAATTTTGATTTCAGTAACCCAATTAAAATCCTAACTTCTAATTTCTTCTCCCAACCGAGAGACTGCGAGACGGGAGACTGCCGACTGCGAGCCAAGAGCCCATCGAACTCATCGAAGCCGTCTGGTGGTGGACCTCCAACGAAGCCACGTCGCCATCGAGCTCCAGTCGTCCGTCGAAGCTCCAGCTCCAACCGTCCGCCCGTCCGTTGCCGTCACCTCTGTAAGTACTCTGCCTCTGTAATTTTCGTTTTCCATTACTGAAATTTCAAATACATAAAATTGTGTTTTACTTTGTTTTCATTCCAAATACATAAAATATTAGCATTTTAAATTCCATCCTCTTGTCATCTTGCTGTTCTTAATGCTCATCAAAATCACTATTTCTGCTTATTATGTTCTTAATCGCATATAATTAAAAAGGGATATATAACTTTGTTAAAATCCCTTTAAAAAAATATTTTTCTATCCTAAATTATTTGTAAGCACAAATTATAGTTGAAAAAACATCAGATAATTGTATAGCCGTATAGGCCATAATGGAAATTCTGTAAATGATACATGCTGCTATAGAAAAGGTGTGTACAGGTGTAATTTGTCTAATCCTGGGAAGCTCTTTAATGATGTTCCTATTTGGACATTATGTATTTGAGCCTCAAATTTTGTTCTACCAAAAATTGTTTTCATTTTACTTCAATACTCCAACTCTTTGTTACACAACCATGGAAGGTATTCCCTGAATAGCATTAATACTTGTTTATAGATTTAAAACAAAGAGAAAGAATGTCATACATTAAAAACTTTTTGAACATGGTGAATTTTAGATTATAAACTTGTTTATTGTATATGTGAAATGGTGAATTGAATTATACATTTATTGTGTATGATTTTTAGTTATAATGGCTTCATCAAGTGCTTCGGTTACACAAAGTGTTGGATATTCTGAAGCATCCACACTTAAAAGGAGATCAAATGATGTAGGGTGGGAATATGGTAATTTAGTTGATGGAAAAAATTTGGATAAAGTAAAATGCTTGTTGTGCGAGAAAATTTTATCCGGTGGAGTGCATCGAATAAAAGAGCATATTGCTCATATACAAGGAAATGTTGCTCCATGTTCTAAAGCTACTAAAGATGATCAACTTAAGTGTAGAACTGCACTCAATGAAGCCAAGATGAGAAGGAAAAATAAAAAAACTAATGAAGATAATTTAAGAGCCGAGGTGAATATTGATGGTAGAAGTGAGTCAATTGATGTTGAGGACTTGCAAGGGTCTCTTGAATCTATGAAGCCACCACGTTTACTTGGCCCAATAGAAAAGTTTGCAAGTGGCATCAATCCCGAACCTTTCATGAATTTAGGAAAGACAGTGCAACAACAAGATGGTGCAATATGGAAGGAAAGGTCAAATAAAGTGAAAGGATATATATGTAGATGGGCATATGAGGCCGCTATTCCTTTTCATGCATTTGAAAAAGATAGCTTTAAGATGATGTTAGAAGCAGCTGCACAATTTGGTCCCGGAGTTGAATCACCAAGTAGATATGAGATGAGTGAAACATTCTTGAAAAAAGAAGTTGATAAAGTGAAAGAGTCTTTGAAGATACACAAAGAGGAGTGGAAGCAAAATGGATGCTCAATCATGACGGATGCTTGGACCGATAGAAAGAGAAGAAGTGTAATGAATTTGTGTGTGAATTCAACTTTAGGCACCGTTTTCCTTTCTTTTAAAGAATGTTCACTTGATTCACACACAAGTGAATATATTTATGAGTTTGTTGAGCATGGCATTGAACAAGTTGGAGTTGAAAATGTTGTTCAAGTTGTCACAAATAATGCCTCAAACAACATGGGAGCTTCAAAGTTGTTGAAAGAGAAGAGGCCAACCATCTTTTGGACTTCTTGTGCCACCCACACGATAAATCTAATGCTTCAAAGCATTGGAAATCTCCCAAGGTACAAGAAAGTCCTTGATCAAGCAAAGGCTTTAACGATCTTTATTTATGCTCATCACAAGACTTTGGCAATGATGAGAACTTTCACAAACAAGAGAGATATAGTGAGGCCCGGTGTGACTAGATTTGCATCTTCATTCCTTACTTTGCAAAGTTTAGCCGAGAAGAAGATTGAATTAAGTGCAATGTTTTCTAGCAATGAATGGGAGGCATGTAAATTTTCCAAGATAGCTAAAGGGAAGGTAGCACACACAACCGTAACAAGTTTGGAATTTTGGCAAGGTGTAACGGCATGTTTGAAGGTTTTTGCACCATTGGTGAGAGTACTTCGACTTGTTGATTGTGATAGCAAGCCATCAATGGGGTTTGTATATGGTGAGCTTATGAGATCAAAAGAGGAAATCAAACATGCTTTGTCCGATGTCCCAATGAACTATAAATCGATTATTGACATTATTGAAGAAAAAATGAAAGATAGGCTTGACTCTCCTCTTCATTTGATGGCATATTTTTTGAATCCTTATTACCATTATAAGGATCCACAACTTCATTTGAACGAAGTTGTAGCTGTTGGAGTTGTTGATTTTTGTGATATTCTATTTGTCAATGATTTTGAAATGCAAAATAAGATTTTAAGTGAAGAATTGCCAAAATATAAGAAGAAGGAGGGGATGTTTGGAAGAAGTATCACAATCAAAGCATGTGAGGTGAATGATGACAACTTTAATCCCGGTAAGTCATTCTTTATTCTTTAATATTTTATTGTTTACTTAATTTATTATTTATTTATATTTATTAATTATTATGAACTTTGTTTTGTAGCAAATTGGTGGTCAAATTTTGGTACCTCAGCCCCTTTATTGAGAAGAATAGCCATGAAGATTCTTTCTTTAACATCTAGTTCTTCGGGGTGTGAAAGAAATTGGAGCACGTTTGAAGGGGTTAGTAACTTAATATGATATAAATATTAGTTTGTTATCAAATTGGTATGTTAATATAAATATGAATTATGATAGTTAATACTTTATTATTCATTATTTAAACTTTTGAATATTGTTATTACTTGAATTGTAGATACATACAAAGAAGAAAAATAGATTTGAATCAAATCGTGTCAACAATTTAGTTTTTGTCCAATTTAATGCTACTCTGATGAACAAGAGCAAGCAAGATAAAAATATTGAAAAGTTGGTTGGTAGTGATGCAAGTTTAGTACAAGATTGGATTGTGGAAAATCTTGAGAATGATGAGACTGAGCCGGGATTGGATTGCAACAATAATGCTATGGAAGTGGATGAAGTATTACAACCCCGTAGAAGTGCTAGATTGAGGGATCTTGATGAAGATAACTTTGAATCGGAAGGGGAAAGTGAGGAGGAAATAAATGAAGTGGAGTTTGAAGATGATGGGCAACGTGTTATTGAGCAATATGGACAAGATGAAGAAATTGACAATGATCCTATTCAATCATGATTCATGAATCACTTTGGATTTCAAAACTTTAAAATTTGGACTTGAATGTTGAATTTTTGTTGAATGTTAATTATGTTGTAACTCGTAAGTTTAAACTTTAAACAATGATACTTGGATGTTGTTTCACTTGTTTCATTAGTTGGATGATTAAATGTGGTATTGTTGTTAAATGTGGTAGTGTTGTTCGAGTAATTAAATGTTGGACTTGTTTAGTTGTTTGAAGGAAATCAATGAATGTATGATAGTTTTATTATTTGGACGTGCTATCTGATTGGATGTTGAAAACAGCTTCATTAAATTTGTCAAACTGCAAGTCTGCTATTGTTTTTTAATTATTTTTTTTTAGAGCTCGCCTAGATTTTTTAATTTTTTTTTAGAGCCCGCCTAGCGTCGCCTAGATTCCGCCTTTAGGCGCTGCCCGGTCGCCCGAGTAACGCCTACTGCAACCTTGTATAGAATTAATTTCTTAATAATAATAATAATAATAATAATAATAATAATAATAATAATAATAATTAATTATTATTTTAGTATATTAATTTTGGCTAATTAGAACCTAGAATTAATTCCTTAATTATAATAATATTATACCTTAGCAAAAATGTACTCCGTATCATTTAAAAATTAGAACACATTAATCTATTGTTGGACATGATACTTCGCACAAAACAACTCGTAATAATAACAACTTAACAAAGTCCAATATTTAATTTAACAAAACTAATTAATAATAAGAGAAAATATAAATTTGACAAAATACTGCCTCATAATTAAAGTTTATATAAAATAACAGCACAAATAATGCCACTCAGAATAAGACCCTTCATGGAAGCAAACATCTCCTCATCTCAGCTAGTATCATCAGAGCTGGAATCACTAAAACTATATTTCTTATTAACTTCTTAATGGATGCACTCTTTCCTTTAGGAGCAAAAACCCTTCTTGGCAGCAGGCATCTCCTCATCTGAGCTACTATCATCAGAGCTAGAATCACTAGAACTAGCTTCCATACTCTAAAAACACAACCCACAATATTAAAATAAATAAATAAATAAATAAAATTAAAAAAAATAAAGTTGAATGGAACAAATAATCCATAGTCTAAAAACAAAAAATATAAGAACACTGGTTTTTCTAAGAATCCATTACAAGAAATCAAATCTAGGTCAATAAAAGCATACAACATTAAATGGTACTAGTTCAAATTTCATAAACTTGCAAGCATGCACATACAGAGATATTTTTATCTACTGACCTTCAATTCTTCCTCAAAATCAGAAGAAGTAATCTTCATCACTGCTTTCCACCTTACTCAGAATCAGAAGAAGTATTTTCTCCATAGCTTGTTTTAAAGCTAAATCCTTTTTCTGCTTTTTTGCACTTGCCTTCTCAACCGCAGCTTCCGCTTCCCTCCTACCTACAAAGTCACCAAAAAAGAGTGAACTCGTTTTCAAATAACAAATTTTAAAAAGAAAACAAGAATTAAAAACTGTGGACGATCAATTAAAAAAAATAATAATAAAACTAACCTTTCTGCATCGGCTTAATCGGAGCAACTACAGTTGGATTGGCAACAACCTCGACAAATTCATAATAAATAATGTAAACCGAAAAAATAACAACTTTTGCATAAATATAGAAATCGCTAGACGAGAAATTTTACCTTTAGATTTGATTTGTTAGAAGATTTGCCGACTGTGATGGAAGATGAGAAGGTGGGGAGAGGAGCTGCAATATATATAATAAACCCAAAAGATTATTAGAACTGTATTCTAGACATAGTTGAATTCATTCTCCATCTTCCTTGTATTGTTGAGAATATATCATTTACCATTTCTATCGGACTATTTGTATCCTTATAGATACTACATATCTTCATGTACTTAAATACGATAGATTGATCAATAATAAGATCATTCTCATAAGTATTGCTAGAACAATAAATAGCATACTAATTTACAACTATATTCACAAGAGCAAAGAGAGATTCATTTTTTCCTGCAAGAAGATTTAAATGCTCATGCCTACTAATTTACAACTATATTCATCAAGAGTAAGCAATTGTCTTAAAGGGTATAAAGAAGGCAGCACTCAAGTTACAGATATGAAAATTTTCTTGATTGTTTGTTGGCAGAGTAAACTTAAAAGTTAAAATATCCAATGCATGACCTTCCCCTCCCACATAATTAATAATAACAATGACTGGCCCGCATGGGTAGCTCAACTGGTCATAGAGGTGAAACTTTGGAAGAATGATCAGGGATCAAGTCTCACCAGCGGCAGTGTGGGGGCAACTTCTCAAAGTGAGGGGGGTTCCTTGTGCGCAGTGAGCATCGGTTTAGCCTCTATAGTTCATGTTCAGTTAAGTCACCCTTGCTAGCCTCTATGGTTCATGTTCGACTCACCCTTAGGGTTGATTTTGTCCACTCTCATCCAACAATTTCTCACAAGCAGCATCATCATACTTTTTACAGCAAGCATTCATTACCTTTTAATAGTAGATTCAAGAACTTTCACTATCACGAACTCATAGAAACGAAGATCAACAAGTATGACTTTGTTCCTATCAGCAAGTGTTATGAAATCCTAGTTAATATCGTATCACAGTCCTATTGTGCCACGTGTTCTCATATAATTAGTTTCACAAGCAGCAACGGGAATCGCAGTGTAGAAAAGTAATTACACAGACAGTTAGAGTAAACAAAATAGTACAAAGACAATTATATTCAGGGGAAAGGACAAAAAGAAAAAAGTAACTGCAGACGAAATGCCATAATAACAGGCGGGGGGAACACACACACAGATGAACAAAGCATGGAGTCACAGGGCCGAGATGGGGAGGCAAGAATCATCTCCCTCTGTGAGACAAGAGGCATACCAACCATCTCTCCGTGTGGCACAAGGAGACCTACTTCTATACAACAAAAAAGAGGGGAAAATGCAAAACAAAGAATAAAAACAAACACATACTTGAACAAGCGTACCCTAAGTAAAATAAGTACATAACACAGAAATTAAATGAAAAATAAACCTTAGTTATACAGGGATGATATAGCAGCACAGCACTTGGAGAATACCCTTTTTCACTGTATACTTGGAATTGATTTCATTCACAACAGCCAAGCTAAATTGTACAACAGACAAGCTAAATTGTGCATATCTACTCCACCCATCATATGGCAGGGTAGCTGAATCTACCACGTCCAAGTACATAGACAATCAATACACATTGTTTCCTATAGGAAATATAAGCACCCGCCTGTCAGGACCAATGGTCAGCAAAACCAACCCAAAACTCTATAGCATAACAAAAAACCCAAAGAAAGTCATAGCCCCTTACCATTTGTAACCACCAACAACAAAAACCTCAGAATATAGCTTCTTCACATTCAACCTAGAGAAATTTCCATTGGTCCATGTAAAACGTGAAGCCTGTGGCTCATCCACGGCTTGATTTTCAGCTGCATTAGCATTCTCTGCTGGTATCACTATAAATAAAAGCAACCAATAGAAATATCCCAAAAAAAAAAAAAAATCAGTAAAATATGAACATATAAGTGACAGAGTGTATAGATGTGCTTTTCTGTTAAAAGCTAGAAAGGGTTCTTGTATTATGTCTAACTTCAAGTTACAAGTCTATATATAGGTCTACAAAAGTAAACAATAATAAATAAAGAAACTACTCATCTCCCCAAAGCTTTAATTACTGAGGCTTGTGAGCTGCCCATTTAATTACTAAGGCTAGTGAGCTGCCCAAGACTTTTAATATTCCAACACTCCCCCTCAAGCTGGAGCGTATAAATCAAAAGCTCCCAGCTTGCTACAAATGTATTCAATCCTAGGTCCACGGAGAGATTTGGTGAGAACATCAGCAAGTTGATCATTTGACCCAACAAATGTGGTAACAATGTCTCCGGATGCGACCTTCTCTTGTATAAAGTGACAATCAATCTCAATATGTTTAGTCCTTTCATGGTAGACAGGATTAGACGCAATGTGGAGCGATCCTAGGTCCACGGAGAGATTTGGTGAGAACATCAGCAAGTTGATCATTTGACCCAACAAATGTGGTAACAATGTCTCCGGATGCGACCTTTTCTTGTATAAAGTGGCAATCAATCTCAATATGTTTAGTCCTTTCATGGTAGACAGGATTAGACGCAATGTGGAGCGCTGCTTGATTATCACAAATTAATTTCGTAGGACCATGTTTATAGAAATTGAGTTCTGTAAGAAGTTGTTTAACCCAAATTAGCTCACATATTCCAAGTGCCATTGCTTAGTATTCAGCTTCTGCGCTTGAGCGTGCAACCACATCTTGTTTCTTACTTTTCCAAGAGACAAGATTACCTCCAAATAGAATACAATATCCTGATGTTGATCTCCTATCCCAAGGACATCCAGCCCAATCTACATCTGTATAGCCAACAATTTCTGTATGTCCATGATCTTTATAGAGCAACCCTGTACCTGGAGGCCTTTTCACATATCTCAATATTCTGACGGCTGCATCCCAATGACTTTGACATGGCTCTTGCAAAAATTGGCTAACTACACTTACAGCAAAGGAGGTGTCTGGTCGAGTGATAGTTAAGTACAATAGCTTGCCAACTATTCTCCGATACTTACTTGAATTGAATAGGAGATCCCCCTGTCTTGGAAGAAGTTTGACATTTGGATCCATGGGTGTGTTGGTTTGCAATTTGTCATTCCTGTTTCTTCAAGAATATCCAAAATATATTTTCGTTGAGACACTAGATACCTTGTTTGGATTGAGCAACTTCAATACCAAGAAAATATTTCAATTTTCCAAGATCCTTTGTCTCAAAATGTTGAAACAAATGTTTCTTAAGCTGATTTATTCCTTCACTATCATTCCCTGTAATGACAATATCATCAACATAAACCACAAAATATATACTTTTTCCAAGTAGGTGTTTATAGAAAACAGAATGGTCAGCCTTACTTTGAATCATGCCAAATTGTTGGATCACATCTCTAAATCTCTCAAACCAGGCACGTGGAGATTGCTTCAACCCATAGAGAGAGCGCTTAAGACGACAAACAAGATTAGCTCCTGTCTTAGCCACAAATCCAGGTGGCTGCTCCATATACACTTCCTCATTCAGATCCCCATGTAAGAAGACATTCTTTATATCCAACTGATACAATGGCCAGTGATGGTTGGCTGCCATTGAGAGTAAGAGGCGGATAGAAGTGATCTTGGCCACCGGTGAGAAGGTATCCGTGTAGTCAATGCCAAAAACCTGTGTGTATCCTTTAGCCACAAGTCGAGCTTTGAGTCTATCAACTTGTCCATCTGGACGAACCTTCACATTATACACCCATCTACAACCAACCACAGTTTTACCAGGAGGTAAAGGTACTAACTCCCAAGTCCCGGAAAAATGTAGTGCATTCATTTCGTCAACCATTGCTTGAGTCCACCCTGGATTAGTTAATGTCTCCTTGACATTGTTTGGAACAAAAGCAGTTGACAAACTAGCAATGAAGGCACAATATGATGGAGACAGACGTTTTTGTGAAAGGAAATTATAGATAGGGTAAGGATTTTGAGTGGATCTTTTACCTACCCGACTGGCAATGGGAGAGTCTGTCGTGGTGTTTTGGGTAGCATCATTGGGTAACAATGATGTAGAACATGACTCAACTGGATGTCTATCCTCTTGGGAATCTTGACGATTGCGTCGTTGGTAGGTGTACAACAACGGTGGAATATGTCCTTCCTCTTGAATGGTTGGAGTTGGAATAGTTCTTTCAGGAATAGGTATGGTCCTTTCAGGAACAGTGGGAGATATAGGTTCTGAGAAAGTAGGAACAGGGAGAATTTCTGTGATTTCAATGGGTTCCCCTAGGAAATTAGACTCAACGGAGGTGGAAGAGAAAAAAGGTGTTGTTTCAAAAAAGGTAACATCGGAAGAGGTATAAAACCCGTGTGTTCTAGGACAGTAACACTTAAAGCCTTTTTGGAGGTGAGAATACCCAAGGAAAACACATTTTATTGCCTTGGCATCAAGTTTATCACGCCCTGGAGAAGTATTATGAACAAAGCAAGTACACCCAAAGATTCGCAATGGAAGCTTGTGGAGAGGTTCCTGTGGACGTAAGATATGAAGAGGAATTTTTCCTTGCAAAACAGAGGAAGGCATACGATTTATGAGATAGCAAGAGTGAAGTATAGCATGACCCCAAAAATTCTTAGGTACCTTGTTATGAATAAGCAAAGTACGAGCTGTTTCAACAAGATGACAAATTTTTCGTTCAGCAACTCCATTCTGTTGAGGAGTTCTAGCACATGATGATTCATGAAGTATTCCATTTGAGGAAAAGAAAGAAGTGAAAGGGTCAGAAAAATATTCTCTTCCATTATCACTGCGTAAGATTTTGAGAGATGCCCCAAATTGATTCACAATTTCATTGTAGAATTTTTGAAACACATCAAATAATTCAAAACGGTTCTTCATTAGAAAAACCCAAGTGCATCGAGAGAAATCATCAATGAAGACAACAAAATATGAGAAACCCAAAGTGGATGAAACTCGACACGGTCCCCAAACATCAGAGTGAACTAAAGAAAATGGGGTATTGGCCCTCTTATTCACTCTACTAGGATATGAAGCCCATGAGTGCTTCCCAAGCTGACATGATTCACACTCTATGGTTTTTAAATTCGACAATCCAGGAACCAGTTGTTTTAATTTATTGAGGTTAGGATGTCCTAAACGACAATGGTTAAGAAGGGGTGAAATAGAAGCCGAGCAAGCTGTTTTGGTATTGGCAGAACATGAAAGATGGTATAGACCTCGTGATTCATATCCTACACCAATTGTCCCTTTTGTTTGACGGTTCTGAATAACCACCGAATCAGAAGAAAAGGTGACAAGGCAATTAAGTGAATGAGTAAGTTGATTAACTGAAATCAAATTGAAATGGCAACCAGGAATGTAAAGGACATTGGATAAAGACAAAGAATGAATGATAACTTTTCCAATTCCTATAGCTTTTCCTTTTGATCCATCACCAAATGTGACATCGGGAAGAGAATCTGAGAACTCAATATTAGAGAAAAATGAGAGATTACCAGAAATGTGATCAGTGGCTCCAGAATCAAGAATCCAAGATGAATCAGATTTTAATGCAAGAGCAGTATGAGACAAGTTGGTCCTTGCAACTTTCAGCATGCTGTTTAAACTCTCATGTTTTGCCATAGCTTTCAGAAAAATATGAGAAAATCACCATATAATCGCAGAAAAGGGACAAACTGAGTTGGAAAATTTTGTCGGAAAAGGGATGATGAACAATCACCACTGTTCATCGGCTGTAGGTGTTTGAGAGAAATTTCAGGCCCCAAAAAAGAGGCTCTGATACCATGTTAAAAGCTAGAAAGGGTTCTTGTATTATGTCTAACTTCAAGTTACAAGTCTATATATAGGTCTACAAAAGTAAACAATAATAAATAAAGAAACTACTCATCTCCCCAAGGCTTTAATTACTGAGGCTTGTGAGCTGCCCATTTAATTACTAAGGCTAGTGAGCTGCCCAAGACTTTTAATATTCCAACATCCAATCTCAAAGTGTAAATTATGGAATCTATACAGACCCATGTGTACAAGTGTCTGTCTAGGCACAAAATTTTCAAACACTAATAGAACAAACCTTCCATAGGCTGAGGACCTTTTATACTAGAGTTGGGGGCCCTTCCACTAAATCAGAGTGAGGCACAAGCATCTCCTCTCCCTCCTGCTGTTGAAATTTTCAAAATAAGCAAAATTTAGTAAAGATAAAAACTTCAAGCAGACGCAAAGAGTGTGATCCATTAAACCCTAGACCTAACCCCCTATATCAAAACCCCACCTGCGGCACTGAAATCTAGACAACACTAAATCCACATCAGGAACCGAACAACCAGCTCCCTCTCCCTAACCCTAGTCGACATGATCAACGCCCCCATTTCACTCACTGTGGATACACCCCACGAGTAAGAATGTATACGTATCTTCCCCAAATGAGGCTAATTATCAATCTATGAAAAAATACAGAGTAAATAAATACGCAGAACGCAAATGAACGAAAATTGAAGTATTGGCGTGTAGAGGAGCGACTCACATCTAATGGTTGAGGATTCAACATGGTCATGGTTAGAGATATATTGACGGTCCGATCAACAACTGAACGGGAAAGATAGGGAAAAGCTCTCCGGCAGTACGGCCAGGAGATGGAGAGAGGGGAGGAGTGAGAAGAAGGGCAAATTATGTTATAGAAATGTGCAAGAGCATCTCCAAGGGGCACTAAATCTGCAAATTCTAACACCATATCGCCATTTTTACAAAAGTTTGGATCTCCAATGCGAGTCTCCAAATCACCAATCCATTTACAGTGATGCGCCAAATTTGGCGCGGCACTGTTCATTCACGAAAAATGGAAAAAGAGAGAAAAAATTAACTCTTTTGTTCTTTTTTTTTTTTTTAATTACAAATGTATCTTTTATTTGTTTTATATGTAATTTTTTATTTTGTTAAATACTTATATTTAAATTTTATATAATTAAATAAAATTTATACCATTTTAAAGATCTCATTAACACGATCGAAACAAAACTAATATTGAATATATATTAATTAAAATTTTAAATACATCAAACATAGCTATATTATATTTCAAGAATTTCCTTTCAAAAAAAAATATTTCAAGAATTATTTCTAATTTTTTAAAAAAATTATTTTCGCTTGTCGTTAACTGTGTTTTTCTCTTCGCAATCGCATTATTTCGTCTTTATTATAAATCTATAGTGTAGTAATTATGAATCTACAGTATTACGTTTGTGAACATGTGATAGAACTATATGTTCATAATTTTATAAATATATGTTCATAATTATAAAGTTATATGTTCATAACTTTCGATATTCCCAATTGTTGAACTCTGTATTTACAAATTACAGAACTATATGTCCATAATTTGATAACTATATAGTTTAGAAATTATGAATTTACAGTACAGATATTATGAATCTATAGTATAGAAATTATGAATATACTGTATAGAAATTATAAATCTATTGTATTTAAATTATGAATCTACGGTATAGAAATTATGAATCTACAATTTAAAAATGATAAATCTACAGTATAAAAATTATGAATATGAAATCGTGCACACCTTGTAAGGTGTACACGATTCCATAGCATAACATTCTTATACACGATTCCATAGCATAACATTCCAAGAAGAAGAGAATTGGTCAATTGGGAAGAGAGAAAGAGTGAGCTTATGTTTTTTATTTTTTAATTATTCAATTTTAATTCTCTGTTTTACTTTTTTTTTTCTATTTAGAAAACATGTTTACTAATATTTATTTTTAAAATTTATTTTTAGATTAATATTATAAAATTAATATAATATAATTTTAATTGTGAGTGAATTTTATGGTAATTTATATCGTGGATTAGAGTCCACAGTGCACTGCAATATACAACATTTGACTTTATAAGGTACAGAATTCATGTTCATAATACACGTACACTTAAACACGATAAAATGAACATAAATTCGGTGCATTATGTTAAGTGTTTATGTGTCATCAGCTATATAATACACAGAATTCATGTTTATAATGCATAGAATTAATTTTCATAATACAAAGAATTCATGTTCATTATATCG